TAGTCCCGTTTTGTAGTAAGACTAATGCACTGTCTTCGAGTTCGTGACCGCGGGAAGGCAGTCATCGCGCTAAAAGACTTCACTGAGTTTATTTTCGGAAAAGGGAAGCTTTGCATTGGTCTGCTTTGGTATGTGATTCTTTTGCTGTCTGAAATATTTGTTTACGATGATCTTTACTGGTAATGCTGATGAAGATGACTGGACGATGACTTATTTTTTTTTTTTTGTCATGATTTGTTATATTACCGTTGTGGAATCCACTTGGATTCCATCACCGGGTCTAAAGATGGAATCCAGGTAGATTTCGAAACTGTATTCTCATTTCAATAAATCTAGTTTTTGCGTTGTGGGTTTTTCTACCATGTATGTATATATAAATATATATATATGTATATATAGGTATGTATACATATACATGTGTGCATATGTATATAGATATACATATATGTATATATGTATATCTATATACATACACACACATATAATATGCACACACACACACACACACACACACACACACACACACACACACACACACACACACACACACACAAATACACACACACATGCACACACACATGCACACACACACACACACACACACACACACACACACACACACACACACACACACACACACACACACACACACACACACACACACACACACACACACACTTATCGATGCCGATTGCCACTCCATCCCCATGTAATTTCCCAACCTCCGCCAGCAATTTGCACTGAGAAAAGTTTCTATTTTAGCGCAATGTACCCCCAGCTATGAACCGGGCTTGTGTGCGAACGCGAACGGATGACGTCACAGTCGAGCACGTGTAGGAGGTAAACATTGAGTTGCCAGTTAAGGTAAAGGGAGAAAATCTTTGTCGAACTTATGGATTTCGGTAATGGGTTGTGGGAGATGTATATTATCTTCTTCTTTTTATGTGAGGTGTATTTATAGGTTGGTGTCTATTAATAAATGTTAATGTTTTATTGTTTTCTTGGTGGTGGATTTTGGTGTCGGTGCCACTCCCATATACTCTTGGGTGATTCTTCAAAGCCTAGTATCTCTGCTGCATTATCCCAATGGCTAATTAGTCTGGAGATCCGCCAAGAGCAATTGCTCATGCAACTTTTTTTTACTTTTATTGTTAAAAGTTAAGACAAAGGACAGGGTTGGATTATCCTTTAAACTAGTTGAGGCTGCAGCTCAGGCCCCCAAACTTGGTCATATCTTACTTCAGGCTAAGTATATGTGGCTAAAAAAAAGTCATGATAGGTGCAGTAAGTTAGATGGCTCTGTCTGAACTAAATAATTGGAAATTCATGGTGAATTTTTATTTAAATTTCAACTAAATAAACAGGTTTGTGGTCTAACAGCTAGCTTATTTAACCCCTTATTGACGGGCTTGGTATGTACATACATGCCATGCCTACTTTGAGTTTGTTTATTAATTGTTTTTACACATAGATGGCTCCACTTATCCTAAGACACCAATGATCCAATTATGACTACTACTTGTCTCAATTTTTTTCACCAAAAGATTTAAAAGGAGCACAGCAGTTTCCTGGTGACGTTGGGTTAATATTTCTATGTCCAAACTATTTGTATTAAATTATTAGAACTTTTTACTAGAATCGTAAATATTGATAGGACTGTTTTTGATAGTATACTTGCTGTCTCATATTTTTGTTGTTTCAGGAAAAATGTAAGGAGGGAGTCAATCTGGGGAAAGAAGTTTTTGGGACAAAGAGTCACATGTATCTAGGGAGAAGTGGAAGAGATAAGGGTAAAGAAGGGGGGATGACACCGTTGAAGCACAGGGGAATGGGATGTGTTGGGAGAGAGTGGGAGGAAGGGGTGTTGGGGGAACATGTGTAGGAGGAGGATGGATGTCAGGAGTTACATCGAATGTAGAAGGAATGGGAGCATAGAGATTGGAGAATGGATGAGGTGTAGGCTGCTATCTTGGGTCACAATTAAATTGATATGGTCGGACAGGGAGAGACTCTCTGCCAATATTAACATTAAGAGAGAGATCATGGCTACGGAAAGTAATCTTGGCAATATTGGTGGACTTACAGCAGCCTCTCAGGGGAATGGTGTAACACTGTACTGATAGTATGCCATAGTCCATGAGGTAGGGGAGTAAGTCTTCTAACCAATATTACCAATCCTTGTCATAGACAGGAAGGGAGGTAGGGACAATTCTGGTACAAGCATTGTGGGAGGGATTCAGCTGGGCAGGAATGGGTTTGCCAGTGAAGTCAGTTAGGGTTATTAATGCTTTAGCTTGGAATTCAGTTGTAACTGTGACAAGGTGGGAACAATCAGGACACATACGGAAGGAAACTTTGCCTTCTTGTTTTCTTTTGGAAGCATTGCTGGAAGAGGAGATTGCTGTCAGAGTAAGGGACTGTAGAGGGGATCATGAAAAATCAATCCCATTTGGCTGGGGTAGACTGAGTATTCAAAAGATTTGTAGAAGCGGTTGTAGTAGAAGAGTTAGTACAGTAAGGCTGCAGAGTAGTAATAAGATGAAGAAAGCTGTGGGGGTGGAGGAGGTAAGTAGAGGATGATTGGAAAGGATGAATATTTTCTGGAGATAAATGGGCAAGCCTCAATGCCCCAAATGAGGGTGCAAAGTCTTCATTACAGTCCACCCCTCAGGGTAAGGTCTAGATAGCTAAACAGGAATACCTAAGTCTCCTACCCCCCCAGGCAACAATAGGGTGGCATACAGGACTAAAAAATGTGGCAAGCCATGATTTGGACAAATGGGACTTTATAGTTAAATGTAGCACTTCTTTCTGTGTGAAATTAGTTTTTTTTATTGTTGATGTTGTTACTATTACTCTTATTATCATTATGATAATGATGGTCATGATGATTTAGTATTTATTTATAATTTCAAACATTTGCTTGATATTTGAATAAATTGTTTTCTATTTATTTTTAGGTTGAAAATGGCCTTAGAGATGAGGCATCTATTTTCCTGGGATACTGAGTACAGTGCTGACTCAGCAGAGTTCTGCCCCATTAGTACATATGAGGATTACCTTGCAGTGGGTACATACCAGCTGGCAGATCCTGAGAAAGCTTTAGACACTTCAAATGAGGGAGGTGAAGGAGAAACAGATAGTCTAGATGGGGCAGCAAAGGATGTACCTAAAAAACGACTAGGCCGTCTCTACCTCAAGCAGAAGATTGATGAAAAATTATGTTTAGTTCAGCAAATTGATATGCCTGCTATTTTGGATATGAAGTGGTGTCAGCATGAGATATCAGGAACACCAGTGCTAGCCATTGCAAATGCTGTTGGTCAGTTACTTCTCTATAGACTAATAACAGCAGGAGAGAAATTGTGTTTGGAGTATCACTGTAAGTTTCAAATTGAAGAAGAAACCCTTGCTCTCTCACTAGACTGGTCAACAGGAAAAACTGTCAGTGAGAATCCTTTAATATCAGTTAGTGATTCTAAGGGAAAGATCACCATTTTGCAGTTGACTAATGGAGAACTCGTTCTCCAAAAAAGATTTTTAGCCCATGATTTTGAAGCTTGGATAACAGCCTTTGACTACTGGGATCCTAACACAGTATTTACAGGAGGTGATGATTGCAAGTTCCGCAGATTTGACATTAGAGCTGAATCAGCCCTACCGGTGTTTACTAGCAGAGTGCATAGTGCAGGAGTTACAAGCATTCAAAGTAATTGTCACTCAGAACACCTTTTAGCAAGCGGAAGCTATGATGAAACTGTTAATTTGTGGGACACAAGAAATATGCGATCTCCAAGTGCTTCCACATCTCTTGGTGGTGGTGTCTGGCGTCTTAAGTGGCATCCTCAAGGAAAGTCATTATTATTGTGTGCTTGTATGTATAATGGATTTCATGTAATAGACACTGAAAGTATGGAAACTGTGGTTTCTTTTAATGAACACCAGAGTATAGCATATGGTGTTGACTGGTGGTATACTATGAAAGATTCCACCCATGTTGTTGCATCTGCATCATTTTATGACCATCTTTTATGTCTCTGGGAATTTAAAAAGAATTAATGTGCAAGTATTAAAAGGAATTTTATGCATTATTATATAAAGTGACCCTTTTATTTTATTTCCTCTGCATTACTGATACCTTTATGTGATTCGTATGTATGTATGTATATATGTGCGTGCGTGCGTGCGCGCAATATTTTCCAAGACCCAGGTTTACCAGTTTCTTGGTCAGTGCCTTTGTTACCCCAAAGACAATAAAAACAAATAACAGATTCATGTAGCTAATCAAACATGTCACAAATGTAAAGTAATATAAAGAAAACAGTGAACTAGAACTGGTATAGTATATATACTGTAAGCCCCATCCACACAATGTCTTTGTCTCGTATTGTGCACTCTACTGGTGCACATGGGATCCAGTCAATCCGGCAGGAAGGAAAGGTGGTGCAGTGTGATAACCTTAGCGCACAAGGAATATTGTCAGTCTAGAGTAGATTTATTTTAAATTTTCTGCTGTGACATCATCGAAGGTCATTGGCAGTGTATTCAAAATACAGCAATTGGGTAGCGTTTGGTGGTGAAACCCCAAGGTAAGAATTTTTTTTTGTTTAATAAGGCAGTGTTTGTGGATTTCTAGAATGGTTAATGATTAGGATAAGGTGATGGAAGGGATAAAGAATGTTAATGTTAATGTTAATGGTTAAAAGCAAGATAAATGTGCTAGACATCTAAGGTCATGTAGCACTATAGTTAAGGGATAAAGAAGAGAAGGAAAAGGTAAAGGCAAGAAGAAAAGACCATGCAGAATTAGCTGAGGTCCAAGGTAAGGGCAATTCCCCACACTGGGCCTCAGTCTCTTGTCTCCTAACCCCCCCCCCCCCATAACAATGAGCAAGGGATGGGGGGTGACTGGCCATAACTATTTATTGAAAATTTTCTGCCGCACCTAGCAATAGGCCCCCCGAGGTAAAGTTTTTTGGTTCATTAAGGCTGTTTGTGGATTTCCAAAATGGTTAATGATCAAAACAAGTGTGCCAGACATCAAAGTTCATATAGAATTACGAAAAAGTAAAAATGAGGTACTGATTAGGATAAGAGGACAGAAAACAGGGATGGAGGAGGAAAAGGAAAGGAAAAGACTCTGTAAATCTAGTTCAGGCAATTTTCTTTATTTACAGAAATTTTCTGCTGCATCAACATCCAAGGTCAATAGTGGCATATTCAAAATACAGTGATAGCTTGAGGGTTGGGGGCTAAAGCCTCCAGGTAAGGAAATGACAAAGGCCATATGGCTCTATGGTTGAGTAGCAAAAAGGGTTAGGAATAAGTTAATTAGGATACAGGTTGAAAAGTACTAGAGGGTAGTATGGTAGTGAAAGAGGGGGAGCTAATGGGGTGTGTACAAGGTAAAGGTTGTAAGAAGGGGAAGCAGTTGAGGGAGTAGGAAACATTATGAAAAAGTATTGTGGATTAAACAGAAAAAAAAAAAATTATTAGAAGTTGATAAAACAAGGGGATGAATAAAAACTTGCCAACCAAGTTGAGGCAAGGGCCAAGGACCAAGGTATGGGGGATACCCTCAACAACATGGAGTAAGGGAATAGGAGGGTGGGTGAATCAGGGGACTGGCTATAATTTCTATTTAGGACTTTCCTGAAGCTTGACTAACAGACTCAAAGTTAAAATTACAAATTTAAGAATTTAAGCTATCCTTGTACAAGTGTTCATTGTAAGTGCTTACTGTCCATGGTCAAATTTAACTTAATCTGGTGTGCCAGATAACTAGTGCAGAGGGAAATGGAACAGCATTGTTTAAAACCTAATGGATTTATGTAACAAAAGGGCTCATCGATTCATTCAAGTAACTAAGGTGATATTCTTGTAAAGCAAAGGCCAGTTAAATTGCAAAGCAAATTGTTGCTGTAGTATCAGTTTTAAAAAAGACCACAGGTCTGACATCTGATAGAGCAAAGACAATTGTAATACTAAAAAAATAGGCCAGCCAGCCTGGGTGTGCCTGTATTCATAAGGTGCCCACCATTTTTTCCCTTCTCAAAAGTTTGCTATGTAGATGGTTACAACTGTTTCTTCATATTTGTTAGCTAACTGGATATAGATCAATCAAAGAAAGACGTATGTAGAAACTTTATATGCCATCTTGTACATGGTACTTTCAACTTCAGTACAAAATAAAAGGTGTTAACACATTTTCCCTGGACTGGATCAAGCTACCTTTTGTAAATGTGTTTAACAAACTTTATTTTACACTAATATGAACACACTAGGCTTTACATGTATCACTGGAAGTCTGTAGAGAAACTACAATAGGTGCTTACTTTGTTTAATAGATATTTACTCCACATATCAAATGCAGAACACTTGACAACTTTGTACCATATTAAACCTTATTCAAAATAACAGCTAAACAAAGCCATGTATAATTAATGGTAAGACTACACAGTCATTCATTCACTTGGAAAATAGCATCTATTTACATATTGTCCAACATGTTCACAGGTGTAAGTGCTTACAATAAAAGACAGAAGATACCAATAATTGGTACACGAAATGAAGTATAAAATAACTTAAAATCTAATATCTTACAATAAAATCTTTCTTCACAGCATGCAAGCAAGATAAAAGATGAAATGGTGCCACGACTACATCTCAGCACTCTAATATTTAAGAGGTTGTCTTGCAAGAAGTTTACGTGACGGATCTGACAGAAGTAAATTTGTACAAAAAAAAATCACACATTCAACCTTGCATGGACACTACATTGCTAAATGTTTAACGTCTCCGGAATTGGGATCTTTGCCACTTCGAAGAATACCCTGGAAAAAAAGTAAAATTTAATCAGATGTGTATCAGTACTTATCCATACATAATTGTGCTCAAAATATCACTTGGCAGTGCTACAATTTCTTTACTGTTAACTGATTATCAAAGTTTTAGATTGTGCATGAGCAGTATAGCTATCTTATTACCTGGTTACTTTTTTTAGAGGTGTTAATGTACAACTGTGCAAGGAAACTTGACTAGAATTATTAAACTAACTTTACCCTCTTTAATGACAAGATCAAGCATGGAATCTAAGTCTCATAAGAAGTCCAAACATGTAACATTATAATATGTCAACCAAACTACATTTGTTTCCATTATACTAACTTGTGAGAGTATTTATTCCTTATGGTCTTGAGGTGTTCCTTTGGTGGCTGGCTGATCATCTGGTGCAAGTGATGAACCAAATGGTAGATATCTTCCATACTGTAACCTGAAAAGTTAAAAAGTTGTTGCTACTCAAACCAGTTTACCTTGCATGATCAACTTATCAAAAGGTTACTCTTTCCACATTCATCAAAATATGAACTATTAAGGTTTCATTAACTTTGATAAAATTGATACTCTTAAACCTGTAAATTTTCCATAATTGTTTTTGAGAACTGATCTTGTTATTTTACTTGAGCTTGCAATACTAACAACATACCAATTCACAAATACAGCACTCATCCTATAGAACCGATTTCTAAGGCTTTGTTACTCACCAGAATAGTACTGCAGTGTGGGAGTCCATGTGCTATCTCCTCTTATGATTCTAGTGAGGAGGAGGGCAGCAGCTGCCAAGGCTGAGTCAGATGCATCTAGGAGTTCATAGTCCATTAGACTCATCTCCAGAATGTAGCGGGTGAGTGTCAGATCTTCCATGCTTACCTTGGCACACTGCAGATGACAATGTTTTACATTATTATTTAGTTTTGAATATGGCTTTCAACTAAGCATCAAAACCTTTATTATTTTAGCAGTAATTGTAAATGGAGAGAGAAAAAAAAAAAAGTTTTACACTGCAGTGGATATTTACAAATAATCATATGCCATCAGGAAAACATGTTCACTGTAGTATGGTCATCTGAAACCTATCTATGCAGATAACTCCACAAGTGCTCAGCAAGGAGGTAATTAGTAGTCAATGTTCTCACCTGATTTCTCCTTTCCTTGAGTTTTTGGGAAAGTCCCCCCCACCAATGCAATTAATATTGATGCTGTCATTATTACTGACACTAACTATTATACTTGTTAATAATACTAGATGCAGAATAAAAAAAATATATTTTCTGAAAAAAGATAAGGGGTAAACACATGATGGATTGTAACTAGTGATTGACTCGCTGGTGACTTGGAGCCATCTCAAAAAATAATTTAATTATTAACTCACTTTGGGCATGGCATTATGCACATGCCATCACAGGCAACATAGGGTTAAAAAGATCCAAAATATTACTCACTCTCGCATATCTCCTAAGAAATCTGTAGGAAAGAGGAATACCAAGGTCAAAGCCAATGACCTTCAGGATCTTTATTTCCATCTCAATTAGTTCCTTCCTTTTGTATGCATCGTCACAGATGTAGAGGAAGTCGTCAACATATGGTGGTGTCCTCTCCTATGGGGAAAAAAAAAAAAAAAAAATATATATATATATATATTAATTCAAGCCAAAGTTTTCTCAACATCTTTCAGAATGACAATGCACCATATTATCTAAAAGTCTCTAATACTCACATCAAATTTGCATGCAATGAACATTGCTGTGGATCCAACAAGTTGTAGTACATCTCGTTTTATGACCGTTTTGGCCAAATACAAATCAATGATTTTCACAGCCAGGTACAGTGTCTCATGGTTCAGCTCAAAAGATTCCTGAAATCAAAAGCATATTAATATGGAAATTTTCAAAGAATACCTTGAAGGATTTTTTATGATGGCAGCATGATCTCAATAGTCCTCAAATACCATGAAACAAGAAAACAAAAACAAAATTAAAAATTGTGAAAAGTAATTTTGGTAATCACATTTACACTCACCTGAACTTCAACCATCCAGTCAATAAGGATGGCTCTCATGCTTCGGGAAACATCTGGCTGACGGTCAATATATTTATCAATCACGAAGTTACTCTGGAAATGTAGGCACAAAGTGGTGTTAGGAAAATTCTGTAGTGGTATTAATTTTAAATAAAGCCAAAGACTTCAAATTAGTTTTCCATTCATCTGCATGAAATACTAACCTCTCTCCCTTTGTAGTATTCAAAAATGTCTTGGGCATAGAGTGATACAGCAAATGGGTCATTTTCCATTTCTTTGTCATAATCCTCAACTCCCTCTGGAAGCTTGGAGACTGGTTCCTGTTCCACAACTGGTGCTTTTTCAACTACATCCTTAACAGGACTGAAAAGAAAACATTTTGTTGTTCATGCCCAGTCAACAAATACTAAGATTACGTGGAAAAGGTAATAACAGCCAATATCCCCAATTTCGACATCTACCTTTTCATATGTAACAATCTTGACCTAATGCCACTAGAAATAAAACAATACATCGTCTTTTTACACAAATTGCTCTACAACCACTCAGCCTCCAAGGAGTCAATTAGTAGGCAGTTGACCACAAGAATCCCCTTTCAATGAATTAGCATCAGAAAAGATCCTGATATTAAAATGAATGCAAATGAATGCAGTTATAATTATAATTGAAAATGTCATCAATAACAGGAATAAAAGGAAAAATATATTTCCCCAAATCTGAGATGAATGGTAAACAGGTGTGATACGTGGGACTCACCGAGTTTTTGGTCACTAAGCACTTGTGGAGCTATCTACATATAAACTCAACTCAGTTGGCATGACATGTATGCGTACACACCATCCTATCAACAATGAGTTAAGCATTTCTTTGAACAATAAGTAGATAATACCATTAATATTTATGTTACTATATGAAAGACTATGCAAATATAAACATACAAATAAAGAAGTATTATAAGCATTTCATACTACATGCCTCCATTTAACAAGTCTCCAAAACATTGTCTAAACAATTTGCAACTTTTTCGCAATTGCACATGCTACTAGTCTCTAAACCTAAAACCAAACCTAAATCTTATGTAGAGATATGAATTGATATGAATCATGCATGCTGATGATTATTTAAGTTATTGAGACATGTAATCAATGCCAAAACTTACACATTCAACTTTCAGAATACTTAGTCAGATTACGGGGAGAGGGAAATAAAAGAAATAAAAAGAGGAGCCTCAGCTTCTTTCTATACTACTGGCAGTAAGAAGCAAAGTGGAAAGCAGCTACAGTACAACTTACAGACTACATCCTAGAACACTGGCTTGAAGAGAAGCTTTGGAAAGGCAGTACCTTCCTTCTGAAGCAGTTACATATGCAGCAGAGTCATCCAGGTCAGTCTTGGATTCCTGAGAGGAGAAGATGGTGTCTTGAGAGCTAGGGAGGGAGTCACAAAACGAGATCTCCTTGGCCTGAGTCTTGACTTCCGGGGCAGATACTTCGGGTTTGGCAGTCTTGGCTGGGACTTTGTCTTTTGCGGCTGCTGGCTTTGACAAGGGCTTGACAAGGGACTTTGTGGAGGCACTGCGCATCAGCCTACCCTTCTGGGCAGTGACTTTCTTTCCATCATTTATTTTCTTTTCAATTGCCTGTTGGAGAAATATGAAAAATCACTACAAAGGAAAATATTAAATTCTCTTTATAAGGAGATTATCAGAGAGGGCAAGATTTTTTGGTTAATGTCACAGTATTTGTTACCAAGAGCGACACCCTCCAAAACCAGGGCATTATGCAAACAAAATCCAAACCTAACCTTTCTTACCTTCTATTTATTCCCTAGACAGGAAGCGTACCCCCATTTATTAAGCACTTCAAACCAATGTACAACATTAAGAACTCTGGCTGCGTGAGGGTGTTGTGGATTTAGTCCGAATGGTAATGTGCACAGGATATTTTCATAATTTTATGGTAAATATGAGGTCACTTCAGATTTACCCATTTGCTTATGACTTTTGTGTTCTGTAAGATGCAATTGTCCATATCTCTGTGTATAGCTCTCGGTAACATTAACTAATGTTACCGAGAGTGATGCACAGAGATAGAGGGAATTGGACACTGCCATCTAATAGAGCATAGAGTATAAACAAGTCAAACAGCTGTGTGGCCTCATATGTACCGAGAAGTGATAGAAATATCCTATGCATGTCACTGCTCAGACCAAGTCCACAACATACTCACATACAGCCAGAGTTCCTAAGGTGTCTAGAAAGTTAGTACAAAGTGCTAACAAAGGGGAGGGACAAGGGGGTATAAATGAGAAATAAATAGAAGTTAGGAAAAGTTAGGTTTGAAATTTTGGGTTCGTACAATACCCTCGTATTGGGAATGTCTCTGGAGGGTGCATCACTCTTGGTAACAAATACCAATCTTTATCTTTTGTTAATAGAAGGAGTTGAAATATACTTACATTGGTAATATCACCAAATGCAGACCTCTTCTTGGTGGCCTTCTCTTCGTCAGGTGCCCCATCAGCCTTGCGCTTCAAGCCCAGAACCTTGTTTGTGGTATCACGCAGAAAACTACTGGCCGCTGCCTTGCCTGGCAGAGGAGGCCGGGCCAAATTTTCATTCTGGATCTTCAGTCCTCCAGTTTTATTTGCAAGGACTTTGCCCACTTGTCCTCTTGTGTTGATACGCGAAGTCATTTTGCAGCCTGGAAATATGGGAATAGTTGAAATACAGTAGATGGTGGTGCACTAAGATTTCCTATACCATATCTAGACAATACAAATGGCAGTATTTCTGACACCTATGACCATTATACTATACATATCCAGGAAACCATTACAAATTATAGTATGTAGGCCAACTAAAAAATTATGATTGCTATGAATATGCATTTTGAAACTTCACTTCCTGTTCCATACTCCTTTTCTGAAAGGGAACTACAACTGTCACAAAAGTACACATTTTACTTGAAAGCTCTTTTTCTCGGCTTCGTGTCTGTACAATAATATGCACACAACAGTTGACTCGATTTAGTGGAGGTCGAGCGATTATCCGTCTTCAAAAATATCAAACCATTTATGGATGTAAAGTCCGATACATGATGTATATATACGGTGTTGTTTTAACGAATCGATCACGCACTTTATAAAACAAAAATCTTAAAACTTAAAATATGCCTGGAAAAGGTCTTACAAAATTCCGCTAATTACTAAATGCTTGTTCAAACTTACGTGTATTCGTAGGTGAATTCGAATCGATTATGGCAAGTAACGAATTTTTATTTTCAGTACACAAGTCCACACCATAAATTCCAGCTATATGCACACGCCATATACCAAATAATTGCAAGGAATAAAAAATATTAAAGCTCTGCCATTGCTCAGCTGACAAATTCCTGTAAACAAACTCGAGGTCGTTGGGTGCTTGGCCTCCCGTGATCTTATTTCCACCCATAAAGCGCCAAGCACGCCATAAATCCCACTTAAACCTTCCCCAATAGGAGTACCATACCTTGTCGTTTGTGGAGCGAGAAATCTACCCGCTATCAGGCCCTTTTCGTGGGAGGATCGAAGGAAATATTAAAAAGTGTCACTCGACCAACTTCAAATTCGGAGACGCCTGCCTGCCCTTCGCTCTCTGAACG